GTCCCTGGGCTGTCTCTTATAACTTTAATATTTACACTATGACAAAGTGAAAGTGCTCATTAGTGTTTGAGCCAAAGTAATACCATTCTTTTTATTCATTCCAATGAGCCTATTTTACATTAGCAAGAAAGAGCCAGAGAGGTAGAGGCCCATGGGGTATTTGCCTAGCCAAAATGGATCTCAGAAGGAAAAAAATTTGGAAAGCATTAGCCTGGGACCCTATGAGAAATGTATTCTTCCATCTGAACTCCACTGGGTAAGACAGTAATAAGTGACTCTTGACCTGCCCCTTCCCTAGTTCAGCCCAGAGCTGCCCACAGTTCTCAGAGGTGCCAAATTAACTCATTCTCCAGCCACAGAGCCATCAGAGAGCAGAGTAGTAATGGTGTCTCTGGGTAAAGGGAGCGCCATATTTCCCTCAGAATAGGTGAAGGAGCTCAAGAGTCCACGTGTCCCTGGAGGACTGCATTTTCTTGGCTATGTTTTCCCAAACTGTGATGAATGTCCCTCCCTTCCACTTCACCTCCAGGGTTAGTGCTCTGGTTCTGCTTAGAATCCACCCAGGGCACTTGCTCAGTCAGTGGACTGGTGTGGATGCTTCTCTTCCAGGATCCACTGTGATCTGGATGGACGGAAACATACTTAGCAACAGGGCCTGAAGTAAGTGTTGTCACCGAGGGGGACCTTCATGTACTGGCAGCCCTTCATCTCTTCTGGTATATCCAGGGGAAAACCCACTCATGTTCACCAAAGGTTTTTGAGGATGGATTCTGTAAGAACTTCTTACTCTGAAGGGAATCCTCTTGCAAGGGACAATTCTGCTTTGTACTTCTGAGCTCCAATGGCAATCACATTCACGTCCACATAGATGGGCCTGCAGCAGAAGATGAAAACCACCTGCTAGAGACAAGGGGAAAGTTGCTTCTCTGTAGTTACAGGAAGAGGCCAGAAGGACAGCATGGCTGCTCCAGTTTAAGGTTTTTCTCTAACATCAAAAACTGAGCCTGATTTGAATGTGAAATTTTCCAGAAATCATCATTCGGGTCAGGATTGGCCTTTCCCATAGGTTAGCTACTTAAATGGTAGAATTTAATGCACACACAATTTCCTCCGCAAAAAGAACTGCATCCCTACTAGCCTGCTGTGATATCTGAAATCTATCCATTAGTGACCACTTGGAACTCAGCCATGAAAGGTGTGGGTTAAAAGGCAAATTAGTTACTTGGAGAAGTGGCCCAGAGAACCCTTATCAACTCTTAATGCCCCTGGATTGCTGGAACGTCAGACTGAGAAATTAGGCTGAAGTCAACGTAACAATAAATTAAGACTGGCTTTAGATGTTGCATATTTAATTTATGAAAATGGTAACATAAATAGGTGTTAACCAAGATGTAAATAGATTTTAGATCATTTGAATTTATATGACAGGTCTTTAGTATGCTATTAATGGAAATGAGTTTGGGGGAGAGAGTTTAACCTTTAAGATTAGTGTCAAGAAGGAAGCCTGTCTCCACTGGTGCCCACGGCAGAAACAGAACATTGGTATGATTCACCACAGATCAGGTTCATTTGCAATTCACCGTCAGTGGCCATATATGCTACAGAGAGCAAAAAGATCTGGTTTTGACTCTGTTTCTGCTGCTAACAAGGTGTGTGACCCTGGTTAGGCCACTTAAGAACTGTGAGCCTTAGATTCGTCATCTATAAAATTAGGCCGTGGAAAAGAAGTCTACATATAAAATTCATGTTCAGCTATTCCCTACTAAAGAATCTCTCCTTTCTTCCTCCATGCACATCTGTCAGGGAGAGGAGAAGGTTGATGGGACCCACCAAGGAGCTTCCACAGGCCTAGACCTATTCCTGAGCCATTGTGAGCTGTGAATTTGGGACACACATGTCACTCTCATACTTAATTTGTTGCTCACCTATTTGTGCTTGTTCACAAATTCAAAGGTATGGCCATTTCCTGGGTCAAAAAGGACAAACTTTGGATGTTTTCACATTCTTCTGTGTCTGACTGCCTTGTGTCGGAGAACCACCTTGTTGATTCAGACAGCAAGTTTGGAGAGGGCTTGGTTTCTGTCCATTGCACGGACTAAGGATGGTGCCAGTAGAGAACTGCACTCAAATGGGGGTATCATGACTGTGAAGCCCTGGGTATGACGGAGATTTCTTATGAGACATCTCCCTCTCACTCAATCACTAACCCCTATGTTCTATAAAAACAAAATCAAACATAAGCACCTTCACAAAGGAATCTGGGCATGCTAAGTGACTCAATTCTATTTGTCACCCAGAGGGATCCCAGAGGCCTTCAGAGCCTGGTGGGAAACCTCTCTGTGACTCCCCCACATTTTTACACAAAGAAAATCAAATCCAGCCACACCAGTGGCAGAAGTCCAGAGGAAAACAAATTGAAAATGGGCAGCACATTGCCTGAGGGAACTGCAGGAAATGAGTGAAGGTGGGTCTCTCCTGGAGGGACCTTTCCTTTCTAAGCACCTGATCTTGGTTTCCAGTGAATCACCTGGTTGAGCCCTTTGCCTTCATTATAAGGAAATTGAGTTGCAGAAAGGTTCAGCATCTTGCCCAAGACCCAAGTTTAGAAAGCAGAGAGGTGGCTGAGAATTGCTTATGGGACCAACATTTCTTGACCCCAAAGCAGATGACAGTGTTTTCTTTCAGTGGAAGATGGAAAGCCCACATGACCCTATCCAGCCTAGAAAGCCTCCAGTCATTAGCAGTACAAAGTGAACCAACCAAAGACCCCAAGTTTACTTGAAATTCAATCAGAAAGGACACTAGGAGTTACAGCAGGGTGTGGAGGACTAAGAGTGACTTGGCCGTTCCCTGGTTACTACCCCACCCAGAGTGAAACCTTGGGCTTTGGATCCTGGTTCCTGTAGAAACTTGAAGCTGATGACCAGAATGACTGGGCTTCTGCCGCCTGGCGGGGAACCTGGAATCTTAGGAGTGGAACACCAGGGCCATGGGATACATCTGAGCAATCTTCAACTTCAGCACTTAAAATAAAGTGGTGGGTAGAAGAAAAAGGAGAAAAACTGGCCTGCCCTCTGCCCCTTTTTTTTTTTTTCCAATACATGGTCATAGAAATTTCCAGAATTTTAGACCAAGATTCAAATGCTGTCTATGACCCTGTTTAGCTCTAAAACTTTGAGAAAGTTTTTTAACCTCTTGGGGCCTCCGATTCCTCCTATTTCATAAAATGGAAATAAAATACACACTCATTTGTGGATTGTGAAGGTTAAATGAGTCCATGTCAGAAGCTGAAGGTACATGCAGCAGATGTGAGTTTGGGGTTGAACAATCTCAGGGAAGACGTGAAGGGATGGGGAAAAACGAGGAGGTGGAAAGTTTCAGGGCCGTGGTTCCCACAAATCCACATTAGGCTTAAAGTGACTCAACAGTTCACAAACTCACAAAATTCAGGAGAATTTTTCTTATTTGGGACATTTTCAGAAATCAAAAGAGAGAAAAGAAACCAAGATACAGAGACTGATCTTCAGTGCTAGCTTGGTCCCTAACCCAGGAACTGAGGGTGTTTGGAGGGCTACGTGTGTGGGTGATAAGGACAAGACCAAGGTGACCAGCCTGTCTAAAGCCTAAAGCAGCTGTGTCCTGAGTCCTGGTGTCTTTGGAGAAGCAGAAACTACCTGGCCCAACTGTTCCCTGGCATCCCTATCTCCAGGGTATAAGCCCCCAACAGTACTGGCAAAGAAACTGGACTGACAGTAAGCCCACTGAAGCCCGTCATGCCATGTGATTTGCTAAGATAAAACCCAGGCCCCAGGGCAGGGGAGAGGAAAACAGTGGGAAGTCTAAAGTTATACAATTGAAAGAAAAAAAAAAAAAACAGGAGAGAAGAGTCAAAGTAATAAAAGGTTACAACTCAACTAAACGAATCATTCCTACACAAACATTCTGAAGACTAAGTGAACATCATCATACTTTTTCTGAGCTCCTTCTGATCAAATCCTTTGCTGTTAAAGGTTATATTCCTGAGGAGTTGATTCGGAAGCTTCTTGCTCTTGTCAGTAAACATGGGAAGAAGCCAAATCTGTGTAAATTTAAATTACATGAAGTCTTTCCCCCAACTGTCTAGTCTCTTAACAGCCCTCTTCACTGAGTTTTGTGGTGATGCAATGTAAATATCTTTATCATAGCGGCACAGACTTTTGAAACTTGGCATAATAGGATTTCTTCCGCCCGGAGCATATCAAAGACCATTGCAAACCAGTCTATGTTAACTTTCAACCAAGACTAAATCAAAGGATCTTTTCTTTGTTTCTAGACTACTTCCAAATGGCCAATAGTGTCCTCTCGGACCATCCCTAACAACTGGGAACCAAGAGCCTGCCCAGTCACCAGGGATGAGGGGCACCTTGGGGGCAGCAGGCAGAAAATAGGAGGACCTAGCGTGCAGGCATCTGAAAGCAACTGAAAATTAACAGGTATTTACAAGAGAAGTGACTGAAGATGGAAACAAGGAGTCACAGTGATTTGGGGGTTTTGTATTCTATAAAGTTTGTGTTGAGCTGGTGTTATAACTTTGGGAAATTTTAGGATTTAGGATTTATCTCTATAAACCTAGTGCTACTACAGTGTGAATTCCTTGAATGAATAAACATGTTAATCAATCAATGAATGGTAATCCTGAGGAAGGGATTTAATCTATTGCAGGTCAATGGGTGGGGTCATGGAAGACTCCCCTGTGTCTCCTGTTATCATCTCTTTTTTTTTTTTGATTGGTGCATTATGATTTTGATTGGTGCAAATATGGCCCAATGAATCCCATTGGTGGGATTCATTGGGCCATATTTATATATGCACATAGCATAATTTGATCAATTTCATTCTCCAATACATCTCCCCTTCCTGTTTTCTTCTGATCCAGGGAGATGGCCAACCGCTAGAGTAGTGTCCTTGGGGTATGGAGACTACAAGGCCATGCATCCTAGAGAACAACCGCAATTCCTGGAGCAGTTTGACTCATTTACTCCCATAATAAGCTCCCAGATGTTGCCCCTCTGGTGATCCATTCCTTCGCGGAGCCAGTGCTTCACATGCCAGACGTGTTTTCACTTGGAGAATTAATACTTCCTTGACTGTTGTGCTCCTTCCTCGCTTCCTTCTCTAAAAATAAGATCCTGATGGGCTCAGACTGTGTCACGGGCTGCTTCCTGTGTTGACTTCACCACATTTCCGAAAGCTGAGTACATATGGAAGAATGAATCAATTAATAAAATTAATGAGTGCATGCCAAAGCTTAAAGAGAAGGACATTAACTGCTTGGTTTAATGACAAAAAAAAAAGCATCATTACTCTTTGTGTCTCAGTCCCCAGCCCAGAGGTACAGTTTCCATCCTCTTCTGCGGGAGCCCACAGTGATGTGCAGGCACCTGCAGCCCGTGCATAAACCCTGCAGCTGGCTTGTTCCCCGGCTGCTCTTCACTCACCATTCTCACGACCTTCAATGACAAGTTCAGCTCTTCACATTTCATGGCATTGTCCACCCTGGGAAGTGTTTCACAGCTATTCCAAGCCCCAGCTGATGAATGAGGACTGGAAACACATTCTGATGCCATCACAGACCACAGAGCAAGTGTCAAACAAGCTTGGTCCCAGGAAATGTGAGTAGCGAACTGAGACAGTGACTGAATTGAGTTTCTACTTCCAAGACCTTTGTAAGGAAACTGGAGGGCAGCTGGGAAAGATCCAGGGACCAAAAGAAGGAGCCAAAAGACCCTTCCTGCTCAGTGTCTTTTTCCCTCCCAAACTCTCGATATAGTAGGAGAGATTTCTGCATGGAATGTGAGACTTTGTGTATCTCCAGGTCAAGGGATTGACCTTGGCTGTTTCCAGGACTTTCCTAGTGGGCCAGATTTTCATGTTCTATATTTAAACTCTGGAGGGTGGACAGAATTGCAAGAAAATCCAAAGGATCTCTCGAAAGAGGGGAGAGAGCTGTAGGGCTCCAGGAGGCAGTTCCATGTCAGGAGATGGGTGCCAATCCTCAGCTGATAACAAGGAATCTGTTTTTGGTTTTTTGTGTTAACTATCTTCCTCCTGTTTCACCAGAGACCAAGACTTTGAGCCAGGTTTCTGAAAACGCCAATGCAGAAAAGACAAGTGGCCACTAGATGGCAGCAGATGGCAAGGAACGAGAGCCGCAGGCAGGATCAGGGAGAGTTGGGCTCCAAGCCCCTCCATTTTGCTTTACATCTTTAATGAGATATGTGAGGAAAATGAGTCCCTTACATGCCAGACACAGATGCCACAACATATGGAGAGATGCCGCACAGCAATATTTCTCTGGTTATTAAACAGGAGGCACCTACCCACTCATTCACTGCATTGTCATGCAGAGTTGTCTTTTATGTCTCGGGGTACTGTTGTTGACAAGGTAGTGACAGGAGAAAGTGGGTGACAAGACTCGTGTAGGGGTGTGGGCCTCTGGGTTCAGGGGGCAGCACCATGCAGGGTTGCTAGCCAAGGAGGGGCAGCCCAGCAGGAGTGGCTTGGTGAGGATCCTGAGTGGCTTCTTCTGCCAGATTCCTTCCCAGTGGCATCTGCTGCTCTCTGATCTCCCTGGCAGTCCTTGGGGGCTCGTTTATTCAGAACCCCCATTACTACCAGACAGCTCTGTGGTCTGACCGTCCACCACAAATCCCAAAGAGGAAAGGGAACCCTGGGCATTTTTAAAGAACAAACCACACTTTGCGTTCTGGGTGAGTGAAGAGAGATAGCATGACTAGAGTGAATTCAGATGCACAGAGACAGGGGACCAGCGTTTCCATGCTGACCCAAACAAAAGGAGGGAGCCCAATCCTGCTGACTGCATGAAATACTTCCACTTGGAGGACACAACCTTGCTGGGAGATGGTTACCTGGCAGGTTGTGCTGTTTTCCTGCTCCCATTTTCCCACTCCCTACACTTTCCTCACCCCAACTGTCTGTCTGTCCATTCCTTGTTTAATTATCCCACCTCCCAAACCCAGGGACTTCTCAATGCCTTGGTGGTAGCTGAGGAACAGAGAACAGGTTCCTCAGGCCAGAGACCATGCTGTCATTAACCTCAAAGACCAAGGTGCCCAGGACTTCTCCGAGTTACTTGCAAAACCCCTCAACAATCCTGAAATGTAGGTAAATAATGCAGCCATTTTTCACACAGAGAAACTGAGGTGTGAAACTACGCTCCTGATTCCTGCCTCTTTCCCATAAATTTGTCCCTCTGTGAAAAAAACAATACCAAAATTCACCCCGCCACTATTTGCCTCCCCTTTTGGAGTAGGACTTCATGTGCTAAAAATCCACGCTTGTCTGTGTGACCTAAGACAGTTCTCTTAGCCTCTCCGGATGATGACTGAGTCCCCTTCCAGCTCAACCATCCTGCAGCTTTAATTTCCCAAGCCTCTGCCAGCCCTCCAAGAGTGTCACACAGGACACTTTTCCTACAATAGCCAAACTCAATAGGAGCAAACAGAATTTCCTCCTCCAGTGAAGAAGAAATGGAGTCGTGGCTGGAGTCTTGTTGACATCCTTTGTCCTCTGAGTGAGGCAAACAGGGAGGCCTCAGATGTCATTGACACCAACAGTAGGGCCTGGAGGTGGTCACACTTATGTGCAAGGACCACGCAGAGATGTCCCTGTGGGTGGTGGAGATGCCTAGTCCAAGATTGGAGGATGTTTTAATAACTATTTCTCAATAAAGAGACCTATTATATTCTGCACAGGGGTCTGGGGGCAAATCCAGGCCTCCCAGGAGGAATCCACTCTCACCCATAATGGGGGATTGGTTCAGCTCAGCTGCTCTGACAAAGGACTGAATACAGCGTGCAGTGGTACAGGCAGCTCCCTGCTGCTCCATGTGAAAATGACTCACAGCAGTTATGAATATCAAACCTCCTTTGATGTGTTCCCAGACATGAGGAACAGCCAGGAGGAGGAGGTGGCCTCTGGATGCTGGCTCTGTGGGGTGGTGCATCGAGGCCTGGACACATCTGGCACCATCCGGAAACTCCAGGAGAAATTCAGGCTGGGTAATTACCCAGGACTTCCTGGGATAACAGAGCTCTCTTTTATCCATCTCTGTCTTTCAGTCTCCAGCTACAGGGGAATTAGATTCTCCAAGAAATTACAACCTGCTTCTATGCTGTCACCTTTCCTGAGGGGATAACAATTCACATGCCTGAATAAAAGTTGTTTTATTGAGCACAAGATGAATGCACCCCCTCACTCCGCATCTGTGCCAATTGCTTTAAAGCCATAGACCTGGCCCCAGTCAGCCAAGCAGAAGGATTTTCCCCTGTAATGGCTATCTCTAGACTCTCAGCCTTTCAAGTGGCTGCATGGTACCTTGTTCTCCTAATAGGTTCTCAATGATGATTGAATACAAAGCCTCCAAGTCTCTCTTGTGTTGGCGGCTCCCGAGACTGGGTCAATCACAGTGGTCCAGAACAGAAGACAGAGGTGTGCTGATGGTCGGGTGAGCATCCAGGCCCATAGCAGCAGAGGAGGGACAGCCACCGCCACCCCTTGCCTGTTTCAGAGAAAGCCTATTTATATGCAGGGGTTCTCCCATTCTAGGCAGGGTTCAGGAGCATGTTGGTCTCTGGTAACTTGGACAAAGTCCTTACATTATACAATCCAGTGGCAATGGAAGAGAATTTGTTCAAACCCATGCTTTCACACTTTCCTTATCTGGGCTGGGGATGTGGCTCAGTGGTAGAGCACTTACAAGCACGCGAGAGACCCTAGGTTTCTTGAGGACTGCAAAACAAAACAAATAAAACATGTCTTCCTTTTCTGAAATGAGGCTGATTCTATTTTGCATTTAAGCTAGGATCTGACTGAAAACTGTTATGAACCCACAGAGATCTGCACACACTCACACATAGAAATAATATAAACAGCCATTATTTACTGAGCACTGATCCAATGCCAGACACTGTACCCAGTCCTCCATGAGCATCCTCCCCCTGAATCCTCACAAACTTTCTGTGTTTGGAGGAATGGGGAGAGGTGTTGTTATTCCCAGTTTACATATGGCAAACTTAAGGCCAAGAAACTTTCCTAAGATTGAACAACTAGAGTATAAGAACTTGAACTCAGAATATAACAGTTACTAATAGGGCATTATGTAAAAATGTGGATGTGTGACCGATGTGATTCTGCAATCTGCATTTGGGGTAAAAATGGGAGTTCATAACCCACTTGAATCTAATGTATGAAATATGATATGTCAAGAGCTTTGTAATGTTTTGAACAACCAATTAAAAAAAGAAGAAGAACTTGTATTCCAGATTGTTGGATTCTAAAGCATCATCTCTTCACCACTGTGCTGGGGTATGCTTATCAGGTGCTTACTACACTTGAGGCACTAGGAGAAAGAGCAGAAAACACACAGGTCTTGAATTCACAAAGCTTCAGTTTAACCACACACCAGTGCACAGAGAGTACACACAGACACACACACACACACACACACACACACGTTATTATAACTTACTAATACAAGATTGGAGGATGTTTTAATAATTTACTATGTCTTCCAAGAATCCTGCAACAAAAGTATCCATCCTTCCTCAGTATCCTGCCCTTAGAACTCCTGACCTTGTATCACATGTTGAATTGTTCAAATTGGTAAGGTCAGAGGTCTTCTACAGTAGGTCTTCAGCTGTTTGAACTTTATGGGTAACATGTGAGCAATCTCACCTTTCATACATTCTGCTACAGTTATCCAGCTCCTAAACTGGTCATGGTTTGTTACATTTTCCATCTTGGTTTGGGGAAGGAGGCCAGTGCCTCATTAGGAGGTTCTTCTTCCTGCCAAAGAGGGTGTAAGCCACTTGAGAAATTAAAGTCTAGAATAATTGGTGAAGAACAAAAGACAAAGTCGGAATTAGGTTTAAAGAACTGGAGGCCCTGAGAAGTCCAGTCCACAAGGAGCTGGAGCTAGACCACTAGAAAATGGCTCCTGTGGTTTATTTAAGGGGGTACATCAAAGGCAAGGGTAAGGCTCCAAGGATGGAGTCTTGCTTCCTGACATCTTGTAGTCAGCAGATTGATTGGTATCTTGGCAGGTCACACCCATCTCAGAGGGGCTGTGTGGCTACAGCAGGTCGCCCCATCTCCAGTGCTGTGTGGGACCTGGCATAGCTTGGATAAGGCTCACAATGTCTCTGGGCAATGAACCAGAGGAAATGTCCACTGGAAATTCCGGCACCAGATTTCCCTATTCAATTAGGCTTCAATGAGTGATAGGCCACACACAGCCCACGGATGGCTCACCACACTTGGTCAAGAAATTTCTGGGACCCTTTTCTCTATCTTTTTGGGCATACAGAGCAGAAGACCAATAGAGACAAGAGCAAGGACAGAGAGAATTTCAAGCTTTTTGAAGGTTCAGGAAGCCAAGACATAGGTCAACTAGAAGGAATAAAGCAGGGGAGGATGGGATGCATGGAACTCCATTGCCTCAGAAAATGGGTGATGAGATATCTATGGACACTGTGTGCTAAGGTGAAACGGAAGGGGAGAAACAAACATTACACTAGTTGCAGACCTTGCCAAGAGCAGATTGTCTGCCAAGAAACTTGGCACAGTTTCTTCAGCCTTGACTCATAGATACATGATCTGGGAGATAGAACAGTATTTTACCATGCTTAGCATCTTCCAGTGACATTGACCCAGTTGTGTGTGGGGGGTGGGGTGGGGGTTGTGCTGTTTTGAGGTTAAGAAACTTCTCTTTGAACTGGAGTTAGTGGACCACCTACATATAAGACAGAGGAATCTGAAACCGTTTATGCCCCAGGAGGAATGTGAACGTACCTTCTTATGGACTCGACCCTTTTGAGAAAAACCTAATGGAAGAAAAAATTTCTTTACACCCAGAATGTTTGCACCCAATTTCATTTCAGAAGATTTGTGTTCCTTCCTGGACTACCCATGAATCTAGAAGTCGTCATTCTAGATCACATTTTTCTCTCGAGCCTTGAAAAGGGAAAACTAAGAAGACTGAGTGTTCGGTCCTAGGAAACCCCTCCCCACACTTCCACCAAAGCTTCAGTTTCACCCACACTGTGCCTTCTAATCCCCAAGGCAACCTGGTCACCTTGTTTGCCAGTTAGTATTTCTTTGGACAAAAACCAAACTGGAAAAACAAACCGGTCTTTGATTCTTTCTTTCTATGCATACCTCCTAAGGTGGCCAGTTGTTAGTGAATCCTAATCTTCATGGAATAGTTTCCAGTTCTGTTTTCCCAGCCTCCATCTGGGGAAGCCATGCCAGAGCCCCCTCCTTAACCCACAGGCAGCCTTCTCATAACTTAACTCCAGGAGTTTGTGGTTCCTATATTCCTGCACTTGACCACTGGAGGGCAATGCTGGACCGGCCAAATCACTATAAGTGAACCACTCTGTCTTTGTCCCCACCTTGCCCTATAATTTCAGGATGCAGCTTCTTTTTGGAAGCCAAAACCAAAAACCTTTAAAGCACCCCTAGGCTTGCAGCACAGCGAGGAATGCTGCAATGCCTCCCCCTCACCTGGGAACATAGAAATAAAAGGCAGTTCGCTGGAAAGCAGATCTGGCTCCATGGGTGACACAATCCCTTGGGAAAGAGACAGGAGAGCTTGCCTAATCATGTCATTAACCAGGAGAACTCTCTCTGCAAGGAAATGCAGAGTCCTACCTGTCTCCACCCACACAGTTGTGAGCCCTGGAGGAGAACGTCTTAGTAAGTTCTCCATTCCCAGGAATAACCCCAGTATTGAGCAAAAAATACTGTTGGATGGATGGATGGATGAACATACATGTACAAAGTGGAATTGGAAAGTTTAATATTGGTGGCTGTTTTCCAGCTCTTAATGCCATCTAAAGTTTAAATCATGAATCAATTGCTGTGAATTCTCTCGAAACAGGTAAGGATGGTCAGGTTGTTAGGTTAAACCAGCGGTTGTCATTGTACAAATGTTATTTCAAACACCATTTCAAGAATTTGGATTCTCCTATTTTTAGGCAGTCCTTCGCTGTGTTGCCCTTGTGTCCTTGCTAGCCTGGGGATTATAAAACACGGGCACCTTTTTATTATAACCAATTTAGAATACCCTACAGCCTCCTCGTCACGTGGAACATGACATACGTCCCTGAGGTGATCAGTGTGGCTGCGTGCCCCTCGGTGGGGCCCATGGAGCTTGACAACTCCACTGAGCCAGAGATCTCCTTCAAGCCACCTGGTGTCATCTCATGAGACTCTTCTCCAAGCAGCTGTCCCCTCTTCCTTCATGTCATGTATTCCAAGGCAGCACGGACACAGCCTGCCCTCCTCATCACTCAAAGCATATTTAAATGTTTCAAGAAAGAAAACGGAGCATGTTTTGAGACCCCAATGCAAGGAGAGATTCTCCCTGTCTCCCAGCAAGCTTCCACATCGCAGCAACCTGCTCAGTGCTCCCTGTAAAAGTCTGTGGGCCTCTTCACATCTCCAGGCACAGAAAGCCTTTCTTTTCATTCTGTGACTGGCTCTTTTCCTGCCCTCTGCTGATTGGTATGTGGTGGGGGGGGGGGCATCCTCAAGGGAAGTTATGCACCTGCTCTTTCACTGCCCCGGGTAGAGTCTGACCTTCATGGCCCCAACAGAGAAAATGGGGTGTTCGGCTGTGTTTCAGGTCTTATAATATCACATACCAATATCCCTGAAAAATTCCCATGTGGGGAAAAATATGTCTTTCATTCTAACTAAAAAGACAGCATTTAATTTTTCTTAGCAGAATACTCACCATCTCAGCTTACTCCCTCTGTGTCCACCTTTATAATGACTTCATAGTCTCCAAAACAACGAGTGATTTTTTTTTTAAGCTGTGAATAAATTCATTCTCAACAAAAGAAGAGTGTTCTAAATTCTATCCATGGTCTTTACTCCAACTACAGAAGCCCAACACAGTCAGCAGTCTTCAAGAGCAGTTCTGCTAAAGGGAAAAGACAAAAAAAAAAAAAAGAAAGTCCTGCTTTTATAAGATACACTCTGTTTTAACAATTTCTAACTTAAATCACTCTTTACAGTTTAAGCCTAGGTCCTCAGAGTACATGGTCCTCATCCTTTTCAAAAAAAAAAAAAAGGCTGGGGGAAAAAAAAACACAACCTTTGACACCTTCTCTAAGAGCAGAGATTCAAAAAAATTTCATTCTAAGATAGCATTTTTCTATCACTGTCCATGGAAAGCAGGTTGATCACATATTAAGCATGTCTTAGACAATGACTTTCTCACAACGCCTTAGTGTGATTAAGGGATAGGCCTCTAGGGTGAAATCTCTGTTCTATACCTATAAAAAAAAAATAGGGAAATTTCCATGTAAGAGGAGATTGACAGAAAATACTGACTCCAGAGGCATGGGGTGCCTCTGAGGTTAGCTCACTGCATTCAAATACAGCCCTGCCACAGGGCTCAGATTTCCAGGTCCAGATCTCTGGTGGGTGAATGTTGCCTGAGGCCTTGATGCCAGGTCTGACATCTAGATTTGACATTGATGGCAGGACACAGACCTCCCGCTTTGTGATTTTGAAAAGCCCGAATCCTCCCCAAGTTTTCAACCTTGGCCGTGACATTCACTTTGGCCCAGGTGAGAAGTATCTGAGGTTGCTTACCTTGAAATCATAGTCCTTTTATAATACTTCACAGTCAAGTGACCCTGGTTATCAATTAAGAGATCTAATTTTTAATGCTGCTATGGCAGAGCAGGAAGTCTTGGTTAGTCCTTTCAAGTTAAACACACTAGATTACTCTTTGGGGAAATGACCACCCTATGCAACCTTGAACTTCAAAGACCCCAATAAGGACAGTGAGCCCAAAATATTGCTAGTGATTGGACCTAGGTCATTTGGTTCATCTACCGGAAAGTACCTACGGAAAGGTTTTCTTTCAAGTTCCTTTCAGAGTCCAGCAGTTTGCCCACAGGGATTAGGTGAGACTGCTCTATCAGCTAGCGGTGCCTTGAACAGAATACACTGGCAGTCCCTTGAAAATCCATTCCCTAGGAAATCTACTGTTTAGAAATGAATCTTTCTATGCTGTGAGAGAAAGGGATGCATTTATTTTCCAAAGGGAGTCATATACAGACCTTCATATCACCAATAATCACTTAAGAAATCTAAAGTCACACCTTGATAAATGTTGGTCAGAGTGTGATGCACAGTTGCTCAACAGAAGGAGAAATTAGGTTGGTTCAGGACTCTGAAAAGGCTCCTTAGTAGACATTCTAGTCAAAGAGACTTAAAGCATGAATGATTTTGATGAATGGAGAGAATGAAGAAGACCAAATCAGGCAGTGCACCCTGGGCAAAGAAGGCACATAGAGTCATGTTTGGGGACTATGTTTCCCTCTATGAGAATGAAATCTGCATTCCCTGGGGGAAGAGTAGTGGCAGGAGCTGTCAGTATGTCATGGGAGAAGAGATGTTTCCACAGAAGGGCCTAAGGTGTTCCAGAGGGGAGGGGGAATTTGACTCAGTAACAGCAAGGTTCTTGGCATACATGATGGAAAAGAAGTCTGGCACCAGCCAGACAAAGGTATAGACAGAGGTTCATTTAGGAAGTAAATACACACTCAAGGAAGAAAGAGGGTGATGTGAAGAGTGAGAAGACCTTCCTTGCATTGGGGTACAATATTTAGAGAAGGGCTGTATCAGGGGCCAGTCTGGAGGTAGAGCCAGGATGGAGCTGCTCAATTTTGCACCAGTTTTCCCTGCACTTTCTCCCTCATTTTACAAGGGCATGGGCCAAGGGCACATCACTCAAGATTTATAACAGTGCTTTCTGCATCTCAATGGCTCATGGAGGTTCCCTTTAAAACTGTTTCTCTCTCTCTCTCTCTCTCTCTCTCTCTCTCTTATCCTAAACCCCTATCTCAGGTATGTTCTGATAGGGAAATGGCTTGTAAACCAGGCTAAGAGACACAGATTTTGTTCCACAGAAATCAGCGGTATAAAAAATGAGCAGAAATCAGCAGTATGTTAAAAGAGACATGCTTAGAAAATGTTTCAGAAAGATCACTATGGGAAGAGTGGTCTGAAACCGAAAGCAAGGAAGTCAGACATAAAAGCAATGCAAAATCTAGGGTAGACATTGAGAAGAATCAGAGATAAGGACCTAGAAAGAGGAAACAGATTCAAGAAACACCTCAAAAGTAGGCGCATGATATGTGGGAGTGAAGGAGAGGGAGAGATGATCTCTTCCTGGCGTTCTGATTATGTGCTGAAAGATTCCCCAGTCGCTACCCCAGGCCTTGCCAATAAAACTAATGCCCACTCACTCTGAACATTAGACAAGGTGTCAATCCTTCCAGGAATGTTTCTGTTTTCCTATGGTCCAATCTCCAAGGGCAGAATCCTAGGCACCTACACAGCAGGGGTCTTCGTGGATCCCTCAAAGCCATTACATAGTTCACTGCTGTTTCTCTTATTTATAAACCCAGTTGTGTGAATAAGTACAATGGTAGTTGTTCTTGTAACTATTTGATAACTGTTTGAAAGTGAAATTTAAGCTGAACTTCTATATTCTTTTTCTTTGATAAATTCTCTTTTCTCCTCTCTCTTCAGGTTGGCCAAGCAAACCAAGACCCATAGAAAATCTGACATAAATCTTTGACCTCCCCATTTAGTTACAGACCCATCCCATTTACTGGAACATTCTGCCAGCACCTGGGACAGCCTTCCCGAAGAGTCTTGGGTGGGCCTGTCCAGGGCTGCCCTGCAGCACACATATATCTTTCCAGCCAGCTCCACTGCCCCAAACATCATTCATATTGCCTCTGGAGACCCCTAGTTACCAGTGGCACACAGCCACCACCAACCTTCCACCTCCACATGTGTCTGCATGCATCTCTGTGGCCACAGTTGCCCCCAACCCTCTTTTGTGTTGCCCTAGGACCAGGCATCCTGGGGTGGGTGTCTCCTTGTTTCTTTACCCATTATCTTTAAAGTTCTTCATGAGAGCGTTTTGCTGAATGACAGTCTTGGGAGAGACAGAAGGAAAGAGATGAGGAGAGAGTGCAGCAGAGGTGGGAGTAAAGACTTTGAGAAAAGCAATAAAATAGAATCTTTGACCTCTCAACTACCGAGATAAGATTGGTCCTAAAGACAGTTTTTTATTAATCCTAAATTAAAACATTCCAGAGTCTTTGCAGACACAACAAAAAAGAAACCATTGCATAAAAGATGCAGTTGCCCTCACAGTGGGAACAATTGCAGCCAAGCTGATTCTGCTCCAAGAAAAGAAAGCTAACAGTGCTAAGTCAGGAATTCCAGAACTTTAATTGTCAACAAACAGAATGATTTCTTGATGGGAAGGTGTCTATCAAGGAAAGTGAGCAGAAAAGGAACCTCTGATTCTTGGATGGGATATGGACTGCCAGAGAAAATTGCAGTGTGGATTCCTCCCTGATGAGCTCACCACCTGCGATGTAGAC